GGGGGGGGCGGGGGGTGCAACCCTCTACCTGTGACTCCAGGCCGAGGGGCAGCTCTGGTTGTCAAGAGTGGGAGCAATGCTGAGTATTCGAAAGAAAGGTACGGATTATACAAATACAGTAGTCATCCTATGGCTACCCCTAAGGTCCAGGGAAAGAAGAGAGTATCACTTGAAGATAAAGAAATGATACCCTCTTCCACCCTAAGTCCTCCTCATGGAAAGGCCAACCCCCGGAACCTGGGGGGTTTTGGGGAGAACCGGTGAGGTGCTTGGACCCAGCCAGTGATCAAAGACAGTGAACTGGTCCCACATGGGGCAGAACCACCACATCCTCAGGGCGTGAGAAATGACTGGTGGGTAGCAGAAGCTCAGGAAGCGTTTACTGAACAAAGCAAGAAAAGCACAGAGGACGGAGGAGCAGGGTATGAGGGGGCGTTGCCAGAGCTGCCCAGCCCGAGGTCTCTTCCTTCTACTCCCAGGACCTGGCCAGGAGGGTCCAGAGGACAAGATGGGAACAAATGCAGATAAAGGAGGGACACCTCACACCCCAGACGTGCCCTCCACCGGCAGCAGGCCACTGAGGATCCAGCCTCCTCCTCGCCCCCCAGAGCTGACTGTGGCCATGAGAGCCGCGGCTGAGACAAAGACGGTTGGAGGGCTGCTGCCGACATTTCAGAAAGCTGCAGCCTTCTCCCTTCTTCAGAGACCAGCAACGTGAAGCTGGGCTTTCTGGCCACAGTTCAGCGTCCAGGGCTTGGTGGGGCATTGTTCAAGCTAAGCGTTCTGAAGTCAGGTTCTCAGCCTTGGCGCCAATGACATTTACAGTGGGCTCCTTTGTGCTGGGGGCTACCCTGTGCACTGCAGAACGTTCAGCCGCACACTGGTCCCTGCCCCAGATGCTGGTGGCACCATCCAGTCATGACAATCAAACTTGTCTCCAGTCATGGCCAGATGTTCCCCAGGAGACAAAAGTCACCTATGGTTGGGAACTACTTGGGTGAACCACTCAATTTGGGGAGATGCAAACCAGTGCCCCAAATACTTGCCATAGGAGGCCATGCACACTCTGGCCCTCTGTCAGCTATTTTTTATTTATTTATTTATTTATTTTTTTGAGATGGAGTCGTGCTCTGTTGCCCAGGCTGGAGTGCAGTGGTACCATCTCAGCTCACTGCAACCTCTACCTCCCAGGTTCAAGCAATTCTCCTGCCTCAGCCTCCTGAGTAGCTGGGATTACAGACATGCGCCATCACGCCCAGCTAATTTTTACATTTTTAGTAGAGATGGGTTTTCACCATGTTGTCCAGGCTGGTCTCAAACTCCTGACCTCAAGTGATCTGCTCGCTCCAGCCTCCCAAAGTATCGGGATTACAGGTGTGAGCCACCACGACTGGCCCTCTGTTGACTTTTAAACATCCCATTCAATTAGACTGTCACTGTCAACCATATTAACACTCGTAATACAAAGGAGCATTTTCCATTTCATGAGCCTGGCCTTTTGCCTGCAATCTGTGCTGCCGCGAAGGGGTCTCTCCCCAACATCCCACCGACAGGCCCCACAGCCCTCTGGGGGGCCCAGCATTCCCACACCTCCTCCACAGCCAACGTGCTCACCTGAGCCTTTCCAACAGATTAAAGATCCTTTGGTTAGAGTCCCTTGCGCATTACGGACCAGGTAATACTTCAAGTGTTTCTGCTTCTTGGGTTGAGTGGTCAGTTTCAGATTTATATGATTGGAGAATTCAGTGAAGTAACAGAAGCCTTTCTTTCCACAGCCAACACAATTCCCAGAGAAACCTGGAGAAGGAAGCAAACCGTAAACACCGCCAACTCATTTCCAAAGTCCTTTTCAAATAAGACATAGTTCATCAAAACTCTGAAGGTTCGTTTCCTGCGCTGCCAGGCAGAAAACTCCACAAGGCAAGTGCCCCACCCTCTCAGTCTGGCCCAGTGGTTAAGACAGCTTTGACTCGAATAAGGGAGGACCAAGAAGATTTAGTGATAGAGATGGGCCCAGGCAAGCTGGGAAGATTTAACGTGCTTGAGGGTCTACTTAAACACCTACACGGAGAGCAAACTTTGCAAGATAAGTTTGGGAGACGTCCCATTCCACTGTCTACACGCATCGGGCACCTGAAATCCTGAAATGACATCACAGGCTCTTACTTCTTCTGGGAGAGCCAGTCACAGACTCCCAAAGCAATTTGACTAGTGAGATGCGCTACGCTGGGTGACCTCTTAAGAGTCCAAAATTCCATCCTGCTATGGAGCTGATCCCATGAGTTGCTGAAAAGAAATCAGGAGAGGTCCGCAATGCCTGGCCGGCATGCTGGCAAGTAAATTCAGTGGCTTAGCAGCCAGGGGATGGAGAAGCTCTGCTAGAATGTGGCTATTGTGCTGCTGTTGGCCTCCACACCAGGCCTACAGCTGCCTTTCTGGGAGGTGACGGAGGCTCCATCGCTGTGAGGCTCTAAGCAGGCCTCCTAAGCAGTAGCAATGACAAAGCCACCTCCTGGGAGCTATTAAAATTCAGAGAATGTGCTTGAAAAGACCTTCATACACTGTAAAGCCTATTCAGACCACAGGCATTGGGAGTGATGGTTAAGATGAGACATGTGAAGACTTGGCTTCTGCCCTGGCTGACTGCGCTTGTTTAAACCATCTTTAGATGGCCTTGCTTCACCCACTGGTATGTCTGGTTTCTGTGGGTCCAAGGTCCTTCGGCCCAGGAGATCTGGGAGCTAAGACTCACGTATCATATTCTGTGGTTGATACGTCTACAAAGGTCATCGTGCCGTAGGCCATGCGGGCCACCCGGCTCTGTGTGTAACTCTGCTCTAAAACAGTCTCTCTAAGGCCTCTGGCTAGTGCTCAAAGCAACTCCAGTTAGTGAAGGTTAAAAACATCTCCACAGATAAATAAAACATCTACATTACAGAAGCCCACCGGACTCTCTGATCTATTGTGAGCACATTTAGTCTTCCTCAAAAGGCATTAGAAATAAGGACAGACTGCTTGGCCTTGCCATAGGACAGTTACAGGATAAGGGACCCTCCGTGCCAGCACAAACAGTAAGGCACCAAGAGATGTGAAACACTGTCCTCTAGATGCGCTCGCTTTCCGTGGGACAGGCAGGGAACTAACGTGCACAGGGAACCAGAGCCATTCCTGCCATTCATCTCAATCCACAAGTGACACAGGAGCCTGTCACTCTGGAAGGCAAATTCTTCTTTGTGAAATCAGAGGACCAGAGAGGCCAACTGTTCTAATCCATAGGTACAGAAAGTGTGGCATTCGCCTCTAGCCTGAGGATGACTTTCTCACTCACAGGCCTGGCATCGGAGGCTGCCCTGATGCCCGCGAGCCTTCATCTCCAGCTTTATTCCTGTCCCTCCTCTGATATGCTAATTCCCAGCTGGACTCCCCTGCCTCTCAACCCAGCCCGCTCCCACTGCCCTGCACCCACAGGCTCATCCTCTCCTCTGGGGGTCCCACCTGTGCACCTCCAGCCCTCACTCAACATCCTGTTCTGATGCCCACCCCAAGGGCCTTCTGCGACCAAAAGGCTGGCTCGCACTTTCCTCCAGACTCTAGGCTCTCCCTGTAGCTCAGGGGCCTCTGAACATCCTCCTTAGCGATTGAAATTCGTGTCTTTTTCCCATCGTCATTCCTCTAGGTTCACAGCATGATCGCACCTGTGGGCTGTGTGTGTGCAAGTGTATGTGTACTAACTCATGCCCAGCACGTGGTGGGCAACCAGTTAATACTGAGAGGGAAGAAAGGAGAGAGGAAACAGGGTAACTGTAAGCAGCATCCTGTTAGGGTTTCTGCAAGCACTCTGAGGAATAACCTCATGCTTTTGTTCATTCATTCGCTTCCAACTTAGGGACACCTGAGATAACCCCAGCTCAACTGCTGCCTAAGAACAGGGCCCGAAGAAACCTTCAGAGCCCCCTGGAAGGGCATCTAAGCCTGGATGTTAAGAAGATGGATGAACAGGAAATAGAACCGCAAGACACTAAGAGCCACTTGCCAAGGCTGGGCTGTCATCCCTCTCCAGAGACAGCAAGGCAGGTTACAGGCCTCTGTCCCACGAGAAACACGGGCGGGGACCGTCGCTGTGCTGCAGAGGCTGTCGCCTCCGCTGGGATGGGAAGCACAGAAGACAGGGAGCCCTTTGTGGCTCAGAAGTGAGATTGGACACCCTGGGTCTCGCTGGTAGAGGAAACACTTAGGGACCCAGCAAGCAAACTGCTTTTCTGCTTTGGCAAAAACATTCTGGTCAGGAGACCCAGCTGCTCTTCTGAGAGGTGTCTTGGAGAGACAGTCACAGAGGCCAACCAAGAAAACCACAGACAAGCTTCCCAACTAGCCCTGGGGAAATGCCAGCTCTTTCAGAAAGTATTGGAAAGGCAGCAAAGTTTTCATGAGAAAGAGGAAAATAATGAGCCGTTCTCTTCAGAAATCTACCTTAGGACCTGGAAGTCTAGAAAGTCTTCTTTATATGATAGGCTTGGAAAGCACTGGGATCCTTCCTGAAATCACAAATCCCTGCCGGCTGTGGATATCCAGAGTCGAAATTCTTGCTTCAGTGTCCTCACCTCGGAAACAGTCCATCGTAAGCAGAACTCCTGTCACCACGCATGGCCACACCCTGTGATTTTCCCGTGAGTCTAGGTTAGCAGCTGCAGGTAGCATTTGTTTAATAAGCACGTCCTGGGCAGATATGTGTGCTGGCCACTGAGCAAGGCTCGCCCCTTCTGCTGAAAGGACAGCTACGTCCACTATCCTCACCCCGGCAGGGGAGTGTGCAGAAGCCTGGACACTCGAGGGGTCTGAGTTCAATCCTAACTACAGTTAGGTGATGTGGGGCAGGTAACTAACACCACCGAGCTTTGCTTTCCTCAACTGTCAACAAGCCAACAACAGCTAACATTCACAGCACACCTACCATGGGCCAGCCACTGTGCCAGGCGTGTTATAAACGTTCTCATTTAAACCTCATGATGCCTGACACGACAATCAGTAGCAGTGTCTCAGTTTCCAGGTGAAAGCATTGAGGCAGAGAGAGATAGAAATTCATCCATGGTACAGGGTGACCCAGCCATGGCTACAGGGTGGAAAGTGCTGGAGTTAGGATTGAACCCATCTCCTCCCCAAAACCCACCTTGTAGGAGCACTATGGGGGTTAAGTACCCACGAGATGTTTAACATGTCAAGGGTACTCTGCAAGCATCCCTCCTTCCTCTCCCCTGGACTAAGCTGTATTAGGAAGGAGAGCACAGTGGGAGTCGGGGTCAGGACACTCACGGGTGGCCCTATGAGGGCAACTATACAACCCTCCACAACAATGTGAGATGTGAGGGGAGCAGCTGCATTTCTCTGCATTTCCATCCTAGGGGGGCAATCATATAGTCCCCCAAAACAGTGTGAGACATGGGGGAAGCAGCTCCATCTCTCTGGGTTTCCATTGTCCAACCATCAAAGGGAAGGCTAGGACTAAATGGGCCCTATGCCTCCTTCTAGGACCAAAGTGACGTGATTCTTCTTGGAAGCAGCCATAGGTGGCTTCCTTCAGACTCAGTAGTGTCTGAGCACTTGGCTCATTGCAGGCTGGAGGTGACCCAGGTTTACTACGGGGCCACTCCCTCTGGAGAGAGGGTCCTCTCACCAAACCTCAGGAATGCCTCTAGAAGCCCACCTGCACCTGACTTTCCTTCCTGAACCACAGTCCAAGGAGATCTGGCTTATGGCCACTGCACCAGACCTAGGAGCCGCAAACCAGCCCCCTGGGCCTGACACCTCCATCCCGTGCCTTCCCAGGGGAGCGGATACTCAGAAGGGCCTTGATCTAGACCACTGTCCCCACACAGAGGACCACTTAGCCCAAGTCATCAACCCTCTATGAAAAAATCCAAATCCAAATCTGACAAGTAACTTTTATGCACAAATATGTTTAGAAAAAAAAAAAAATCTGACAGGAAATGAACCAGGTGCTCTGGGCAAGACATAGATTAAAAATACATGGTTCATTCTTTGGGTATTGTTTTTGGTTTAAAAATAAAAAAGTGGTCCCTGACTGCTAGGAAGAAGGAACAGGCACAGTTAAATAATCCCAGGATTGAGGCAGAAGTACCAGTGGCAACCACAGCAGTTCCTCAAATTTGGGCAGAATTTTCGAGTTTATTAAGATCATCACATAAAGATCTGAGTCCCTCAAAACCGCAGTCAGGTACAGCATATACCATTAGCCCCTTTATAGGTGGCAAACCTATAGCCCCCAAGGCAGGAAAAACTTCTCTACAAAGATGGGACTGGCTGTTCTAGCATAATGTGCTATGGGGAAGAATGGAGAAACAGCAGGAGTAATTTAGGAAGGCAATTCCAGGAAGACATCCTGGCAAGTGAGATTTAAATTGGGCCTGAACAGCAACTCTGTGTTCCTTCCAAATAATGAGCCTTGGAAACCCATGAGCTCAGATAAGCACACGCTATACCCAGCGACTAATGACCACCCTCCTCGAGCCTAAAAATAAATAGTGACTTGGGACAAAAATAAAATCACCTTTAGCTCACTGCATCATATTAATTGAAAAAAAAAAAAAAAAACCACAGAATCTAGCATGGATCTACTGTGATTACCAGCTGATAAACATTATTTTATATCCCCACCTGGATGGAGACTAGAAAAGACCATGCACAAAGTAAAACAAGGTATTATATGTGTGTGTGCGCGCGTGTGTGTGCGTGCGTGTGTGCATGTGCACACATGCATGTGCACCCAGAGCCCCTGCCTTGATATTACATATTATATGTGCCCAGAGCCCCTGCCTTGGTATTTTATTTATATTTTTATATATCGATATAGATATAGATATATAGACATGCACCCGGCGTCCCTGCCTTGGTATTCTGTTTATATGTGCCCAGAGGCCCTGCCTTGGTATTTTGGCCACATCCCAGCTCAAGTGTAGAAATGACCTCCTTATGTCAGTGAAGCCTGAGGAGCTGTATCAGGATTCTGGATCAAACAGGAAGTGGGGTGGGGGTCCCAGGTGTCCCCAAGGAGAATGGAGTGTTCAGGGGTGGTAAATAGTACGATGCTGGGTGGTTTGAAACATGTAACTCTCAGGCCATCGTATTCCTCTAGAATCCTGCAGTAAGTTCATAACTAGTTCTGCCTCAGTTTCTCCCTTTGCATAAAAATTGTGTCTGACTTCTAAGAAATCTCCCTAAAACACAGTTTAAAACACAGTCATCTAAATTTAACATTTAACACTCTAAATTTCCTAAAAAACATATCAATTATAAGGGCAAAATTAGGGAGGAAGGACCTACACATTGAGAAACATTTAAGAGGCACAGCAACCAAATGCTTCAAGAAGAACACTCTCTGGATCTTGATACAAATGCAACAATTGCTTTTTTTTTTTTTTTTTAAAAAAAAAGCATAAGATACAATTTGAACACACTGAATATTTGATCATATTAAATAGCTGTTAAGTCTTATAGAAATGATAATGGTATTCGATTTCTAAAGAAAAGCTGTTATCTTTTTCTTTTTTTAAATGGTGTTCCACTCTTGTTGCCCAGGCTGGAGTACAATGGCTTGATCTCAGCTCACTGCAACCTCTACCTCCCGGGTTCAAGTGATTCTGCTGTCTCAGCCTCCTGAGTAGCTGGGATTATAGGTGCCCGCCACCACACTCAGCTAATTTTTGTATATTTAGTAGAGACGGGATTTCACCACGTTGGCCAGGCTGGTCTCAAACTCCTGACCTCAGGCGATCCGCCTGCCTCAGCCTCCCAAAGTGCTAACATTTCAGGCATGAGCCACCGTGCCTGGCCCCATTATCTTGTAGAGATATGTGCTGAAATATTTAGAGATACGTGCTGAAATATTTACAGATGAAATGATACAATGTCTGGGATTTGTTTCAAAATAATCCCAGAAAGGGAGAAGAAGGGGACATTATCAGTGAAACAAGATTGGCTATGTGTTGGTAACGTTAAAGAAGGCTAGATCGCCTCATTTCATGAGACTCTGTACTTCTGTAGTTTGAAAATAGCTCCTTGGGTAATGCATCCTTTTCCAAGCAGAACCCAACAGGACACCCCACACTGCCACACTCTCTGCCAGTCTCTGCTCTAGCCACAGAGCACTCTAGCCACTTCTTCAGTGCGCCATGCTGTCATGCACAGGGAGTTCCCTCTGCTGAGATGCCCTTCATCCTCCAGGACCTGGGCACCAGGGCCAGACCATCAGGGTTCAAACGGCTGGGTTGTCCTGAGCAAGTCAGTTAGGCTCTCTGTGCCTTCATTTCTAGATGTAACTCTAGGTAATAATGGGCCCACCACATTGGCTATTTTAACTCATTTCATGCAGTTTCTGGCACATGACAAACACTCAAAAAGTGCTGACTGCTGTCAGTGCTTGGTTTCTGTTGTTATGCTCCAATTTGTAAAATTCCACTCATTTTTCAGGGCCCAACTCAGATACCACATCGTCCCATTCCCCTCCTCACTGGGAGCCAGTGTGCCCCTCCGCATCCCCGGAGCACCTTACCCTCTCTGCTAGACCAGGTTGCACACGGATGCATTGTAAGGTTTATTGACAGAGTCATTTGTTGTGGACTTCTAGGCTGAGTCTTGGTATGCCTGCATCCCCCCATCCTTCCCCCAGACGTAGCTGAAGGGCCAGGTTTACATTTCACATTATATGTTCAATAAATGCATGCTGAATTATTTGCCTGCTGAATGAACAAAGGACTCGTTGACTCCCATCTAAGAAAGAACAGTCTAGTGGGATATGTTTTCCTTTTTTTATGTCTGAGCTGTCAACCAATTTAGATAAATCACCGGGCAATAAACTGAAACACACACCTAGATTTTAATCTTTCAGCGTTTTCAGATAAAATCCCTGAGTTGATTAAAAGTCCCTAAAAAAGTCTCCTCACGCTGCTGCTTCCTGAAAGGTATTCCCCAGCCTGTGTTTTATAGATCCCTAAAAAGCACTGAACCTGCCATTGCAGGGCTAGAGGGGACCCCCTTGTCCTGTGCAGCCATCAGACTTAATTGCAGGAAACCTAAATGGTGTTAAGCATGCAAGCTGAGAGCATAAAGTTATTTTAAAAGAAAAAAGCCGGTGGTATAACCAACCAGGCCTCGTTACCCATTTCAGATGGCTTTTGGCAAGCAATTAACAAAGCTCCTACTTCCTCTCCTCGATGAGCTGGTGCTGTTACTGGGCTGCTGGTGAAGGAACTGAAAGATCCTCCTCTCGGAGGGCCAAGAGGCAGAGCCTCCTTGATTTACTACCCAGGCAATTCATTTACAGTCACAAAGTGGAATCCAGACGAATCCTCAGCCACCACCAGATCAAACACAGGCGGCCACCCAGCACCGCCTCCCCGGACTCACTTTCATCCTGGGCGACTGTCGTAAGCATTCAGTCTGTCATTGAATCATTCCATCGGCTTCTTTGCCAGAGTGGATTTTCTGGATGATTCTGCTTTAGAGAACTAGTTATAACAAGTCCATGGGCCTGCCTTAAGACAGTTGGCTAAAAGGTTTTCTCTCCTTCATCATTGTCTGGTGGTGCTGTGTCCCTCCAGCGGGCATTCACCTGCCCTGTGTCAGAGTTCACACACCTGTGTGTCCCCAGCTCCCTTGTGGCAGGAGCCATTTCATTTTCTTCTCCCCACGCTCTCCTCTCTCCATCTTTCATCCTTTGCACAGCGCCTCAGACACAGTGTGCTCAGTAACTACCCACGGGAGTGAGTTTATCCACCCAGCTTTTGGGGCCATATCAAGCGCAAAACTGGAGGCTTCCATGTCTAAACCCATGGAAAATACGTAAGAGATTGTGGGGTTTTTCGGTCTAGAAGTTTTCCCCATAAATTCTCACAATCAAGCTTGCTTCTATAGGAAGACTGTTCCTGAGGCTACAGCTGACGTGGATCATTACCAATCCCACCTCCTGCCCAGATTTCCTCCAAAGAAGATGCCAGGCCAGGTCAGGGGAGTGGACCCACAGTCACACGATGGGAACACACTGCCAAAGGGCCAGGGCACATGTGGTAGTGGCCTCCCCACTTCATGGATGAGGACACAGAAGCGCAGGGGGCCACACAGGGACCTGTGGCCAGATGCAGGACAGGAACCCAGGTCCCTGGGCTCTCGCTCCACACCTTGGGTGTCCGTAGATTTTGCTCCACAATGGGGGAGCCTGCTGCAGGAGGGCCTGGCACACAGTAAAAGCTCAATGACATCATATAAGCAAAGGCAGCCAGGCTTGGCAAGGCCTGGCCTCAGCTCCGCACTTAGGGCTTTAGTGGTCCAGTGGTTGTTAGAAAGATCAAAGGCCAGTGGTGCTGATGGCTGAAGGAAAAGCAGCAGCTCCCCCATACTGACCTTGACCATAACATGGTCAAGACCAGATGGGACGGTACCGGGTAGAATCTGGAGCCAAGAAGACTTGAGTTTGAATCCTGGCTCTGTCCTCTTTACTCATGCACCCTTGGGCAAGTTAACAGATCCAAGCCCACCTGTGAAACTGGGGTAATAAAGATCACCTCTTGGCTGGGCACAGTGGCTCAGGCTTGTAATCCCAGCACTTTGGGAGGTCAAGGTGGGCAGATCACTTGAGGCCAGAAGTTTGAGACCAGCCTGGCCAATATGGTGAGACCCCACTCTACTAAAAATACAAAAATTAGCCAGGTGTGGTGGTGCACACCTGTAATCCCAGCTATTTGGGAGGCTGAGGCATGAGACTCACTTGAACCCTGGAGATGGAGGTCACAGTGAGCTGAGATAGTGCCACTGCACTCCAGCCTGGGTGACAGAGCAAGACTCCATCTCAAAATAAATAAATAAACAAACAGACCACATCTTGAGAGATGAGTGGTAAACCAAAGTGGAGAATAGATCCAGGGTGCCTGGCAGTCATTCAGGACAGCAAGGTTCTGGAGGCAGGAATACACTTGGCCTCATTCTCCCCTGCCTTCATCAGCTGTTTCTGAGACCATCTAGGACAAGGTTTGTCACCCATTCCTGACACAGGCAGGCACTTAGGGAGGTTTGAAGAATAAATGTATGAAAAATGAATACTAAATGCTGAGTTTTCTACAGGGAAGCAGTCACACTGTAAATGCATCTCTTTTGCATTCCATTCTACAAAGAGATTGTCTACCAAAAAACATAAACAGAGCTGCAGGCTATGCCTGGAGTCCCAAAGGTGGTCCCTCTGTTGCCACCGTCCCCTGCCATGACCTCCCTTGACCCTACTCTACCTCTGTGCAGAAAGAGCCACAAAGGAGGACAAAGCAGAACTTACCAAGAAGAGCATTGTGGCCGTTGTCATCTGGCAAGAACCTCTTATCAACGGCACACACCAGGAGATGGTCCGGCAGGCTGGGGGACTTGGCCCCCACGAGGAGAAAGCCCGCAGGGACGTCAATGGGCTCGTTGGAAATGGAGACGAGGCGCAGGTCCTTCCCGGCCTGGCAGAACCCTAGGAGGAGTGGACAGGGCTCACATGCTGCCCAGGGCTTCCAGAAGCGGGGCACAGGGGCAAAGGGAGCAAACATTCTGGGTGTGCTCAGGAGAGACCCGTAACTCTGGGTGTGCTTAACCTCAAAATTAAATCCTGAGAGATAAAACTGTAATCATACTTGGCTGGGCATGGTGGCGCACACCTGTAATCCCAACACTTTGGGAAGCTGAGGAGGGTGGATCACTTGAGGTCAGGAGTTCAAGACCAGTCTGGTCAACATGGTGAAACCCCGTCTCTACTAAAAATATAAAAATTAGCCAGGCATGGTGGTGCAATCCCAGCTACCTGTGAGGCTGAAGCACAAGAATCGCTTGAACCCAGAAGGCGGAGATGGCAGTGAGCTGAGATTGCGCTGCTGCACTCCAGCCTGAGCGACAGAGTGAGACTCCATCTCAAAAAAAAAAAAACAAAAAAAACTATAATCACAGTTACCCACAACACACAGATCACACATTATTTGTCTATCAGTGTCACCATGTGATCCACATTAATGTGCAAATGAAGCTTAACAGGAATAAATTTTAAACACATGATGGCAAATTGAAACGTAAACAAGATAAATCCATAAGAAACTGAGGGTCTCCTGATGTTTCTTACGTGCTGCATTTTACGGGGATGAGAAAGAAGCCAACATGAAAAATGAAGAGTGAGAATGTGATGGCATCGGTTTCCTACAGGGGGTTGTGGGGAGGACTGGCATTCAGGACACAGACACGAGCAGCCGGGAGCACGGAGACTCCCACATTCCATGCCCTTTGGAATCTTTCACATTTTAGAGCTTATAAATATATTTCCTATTCAAATAATATGTTTCTACAAATATCTGGCGGAAAAGGAAAAAGAGAGAATCAGCTGAGATTAAAATGGGTAAGGCCTTTCCAGGGTCTTATCCCAGGTAAGGGCACACCCAGCCCCATCTCCTGGGCTTCCTATAGCTTTAGCTCCCACCTGAGACCAGAGAGGGAGCCCTGATAAGCCCAGGCCTTCCAGCAGAGCTCTACAGTCCGTCATGAAGACTTTCCTCCTGTGTGCGGGGCTTACCCGTTCATCACGCATTTGCTCCATGGTTTCCCATGTGCCCCTGGGCGGGGGCAGAAGGCAACACACATGGGGCCAAGACGCTGACAGGCGTGGGGCCAGCACCACCACATGCCAGGCACCAGTGAGGCAGGCTCTGCAAAGCTCTCATCTCACCACCTGCAGCAAAGTGTGGCTGTTTCCATTTTGAAGATATGGAAACTGAGGCTCAGAGAGGTTGAGTGATTTGCTGCAAGCTACAGAGAGGTGGACCAGGAGGGAAGGCCAAGTTGACTCCCAGGTTTGGGGCATGATAGGCTTTGGCTGTGCCCCCACCCAAATCTCATCTTAAATTGTAACTCCCGCAATTCCCACAGATTGTGGGAGGGACACGGTGGGAGGTAACTGAATCATGGGGGCGGGTCTTTCCCATCTATTCTCGTGACATAATGTCTCATGAGATCTGATGGTTTTCAAAAGGGGAGTTTCCCCACCCAAGCTCTCTTGTCTTGTCTGCTGCCATGTGAGATGTGCCTTTCACCTTCCACCATGACTGTGAGGCCTCCCCATCCATGTGGAACTGTAAGTCTACGAAACCACTTTCTTTGGTAAATTGCCCAGTCTTGGGTAAGTCTTTATCAGCAGTGTGAAAATGGACTAATCCAGGGTAGCTCCCTGGACTGGCTTGGGGAAGGGAAGCCAATTCCCTGAGGTCGAGGTCAAGCTCCAGAGGTCCCCTAACTCTCTGACCTGGGTCCCTCCCAGCCCGGTGTGGTCCATGCCTTCTGAAAAGCTGGGGGGATATAGGCCATGAGTAGTCACAGTGGTTACCATATTTATTTGGAAACTCTGTGAAAACTGCTATAATGACTATTGGAGAGTTTACCTCTTAACTTTTTTTTTAAGAGACAGGATCTTGCTATGTTGCCCAGGCTGGCCTCAAAGTCTGGGCTCAAGCAATCCTGCTGCCTCAGCCTCCTGGTAGCTGGGACTTGACTACTTGTGCCACCATGCCTGGCTGAAGAGTTCTCCTCTTACCATTTAATTCAGTGGCCTTTTAAACACTTGGACACTGAGAGTCCTGCCTCACTAGGAACCACCATGTTGACTTTCCCTTGCCTGGAAGAGCAGCCCAGCGAGGGCTGGGTCCCTCCCATGCCAGTCATCATGCTCAGGGTCAAGTCCAGGCCCCAAGGAAGGTGCGTGGGCCTTCACACCAAGTCTCCTCACTCCTCCAAGCCTGGCTCTGCAACCTACCTAATAATCTACCTCAGGCACCTACCTAAATAATCTGCTAGCAATTCCCTCCAACGAGCTGTAATCTCACCCAACTAAGCCTTTGCACGTGCTGTTCCCTCTGTCTGAAACTTCCCAGCTTCCTCCAACCCCTACACAGTCTCCTGGCTAACTTGTACTAATCCAACAAAACCCAAAGGGCTACCTCCTCCAGGAAGCCTTCCCAAAACTCACTACCTGCATTAGAGCCTCTCCTCTGCTCCATGCAGCCCTGCTTGTCCCCAGCTGTGTGCAAAATATCCGCTTCCCTGTATAGCGCCCATCAAGCAGGGAGCTCTCATCCTATTTATCTCCAGATGTTCAGAGCAAAGACTTCAATAATTAGTTCAATTACTGCTTAATGTAATAATAACCAGTTAGCTATCTTAAATAACTAAGGACTGAGCACAATGCTTGGACATATTAGGCATTCCAAAAATATTTGTGTAGGGGGTACCACAGTGTCACACGTAGACCATTTACAAATAAGGAAGCTGAGGCTTAGAGAGATGCAATGATTGGCCCACAGCTATTCAACTATCCACTAAGTAGCATGGCGTCCATGTGCCCAGACCTGTCTGATGCCCAAGCTGATGTTCTCACCACTAACTAGCCTCTCCCCTTGACTGGCATGGCATCAGGACAGATGAACTCACTAGCAAAGAGGTTGTGTGGCTCGTGGGTGGCACAGTCAGAGGCGTGCACCAAACTCCGAGTGCACAGCACAAGCTCTCGGCACAGGACTAAGCTGCCACCTACCCAGCATCTCCATGCCTCAGTTTCTCAACAGGGAAACTGTACCATTACTGACTGCACAGGGACCCTGAGAGTATGTGTATCTGCCTGTTCAACAGTGACATACTGGTAAGTAAGAAAGATTACTCCAGCCAGGCAAGGTGGCTCACACCTATAATCCCAGCACTTTGGGAGGCCGAGGCTAGTGGATCACCTGAGTTCAGGAGTTTCAGACCGGCCTGGCCAACATGGCAAAACCCCATCTCTACTAAAATTATAAGAATCAGCCAGGCATGGTGGCAGATGCCTATAATCCCAGCTACTCGGGAGGCTGAGGCAGGAGAATCGCTTGAACTCGGGAGGCAGAGGTTGCGGTGGAGCCAAGTTCACACCACTGCATTCCAGCCTGGGCGACAGAGTGAGACTCTGTTAAAAAATAAATAAATAAATAAATAAAAATAAAATAGGAAGCAAGATTCTCTCTCCTAATCATTTCTGAGTTCAATATGCTGTGCAAACAGGCCTGAGTAGGGAAAATATATTCTCGTTTCCAAGCAACCAACACAGAAAAATGAATGTCTGGCTCCCAAGCCACTGGTCAAGTTGAGGCTGTCCAAAGAGTGGCACAGAGGCCGCCTTAGCATCCCAGCATGGGTTCTTCAGAGCTCCTGGTTCACCAGGGCAGGCCGGGCCAGCACCTGCTGGGGGCCCAGGGGCACAGCTCACAACTCAGGGCACAGGAGGGGCAAAGAGGACCCCTGCAGCACACAGTCACAGGTCCAGCCACTGGCCCAGCCACTACCTCTGGGCAGCACAGTGGGCACTACCCGGCCAGGGGCTGGCAGAGCTCACCGTCTGTTGTGCAGCATCCTTCAGGCGGAGGGTGCAGCTGGAAAGGGTTTGGGAGGCTGTTTGGTTCCAGCCCTCCTTCTCCCTCTTCTTCCTCTTCCTCGTTGTCCACTCGGCTACCACCTAGATGGGGGAAGCAGAGAGATGAGCAAGGCAGCCGCCGTCTGGGCTCAGCGCTTCCTCCAGGCCTTTCCTCTGCCTGGATTCTCAGGACCTACGGGACTAATCCAGAATGGGTTCCACGCATCCTTAACAAGCACTCAGCAAGCCTAGCTAGTTCAGAGTTAACTCATCCTTACAAACACTCTGGAAGTCGAGTTTTATCAACCTTCTTTACCGGAGGGAAAAGCTGAGGCTTGTTCAGGTTGGATGACTCAGCCAAGGTCACATTACACACAGGCCTTGGCCTCATGACTCCAAATTCAGGTTTGCTTCTCTTCCACCTGCTACAGCTGCGCGTATACTGAGAGGTTTAATATGTACAGAACTGGTTGACAAGCACTGAGCGCAACGCCTGGACACAATAGCATTCCAAAAACATTTGTGTAGGGGTGCCACAGTGTCACATGTAGACCATTTTACAAATAAGGAAACACAGGCTCACAGAGATCCAGTGATTGGCCCACAGCTATTCAACTGTGCTAAGTCACATGACCTGAATGTGCCCAGACGTGTCTGATGCCCAAGCTGATGTTCTCGCCCCTAAACTGCCCTGCTTCGTTTGGGGTGGTATGAACTGCTTTGCACAATACAAGACAGCAGTCAAATTGCACATTAATTATCCCCAAGGGAAGAACACATGTACACATTGCTGGACACACACACACAGACACACACACACACACAGAGAGCCATTCTAGAACAGGGTCAGGTATGGTATGGATGTAGGAAACTTCTTTTAAGTGAGACAACATTTCAGAAGGAATGGTCACTGTGGAACGGGTCAGGAGGCCCAGAAGTGGCCACGGACATCCCGCCGCCCCCATGGCACGCACTCTGTGCCTACAAGGAAATGAACGTCTCTCAGCTCCATCGGGCAGACTCTCTGCCCTCACTCATTCCTGTATTCCGGGCACCCCACAGGGAGGCTAAATATGACTGTGTGTCATGCAGCCCAGTGGCTCTGGGTCCACAGAGTCGCACCTCAGTCACCAAGCACTGCTGGAGAAGGCAGGACCTCAGGCTGTTGAAGTTTATTCCTGCCAACTTCTTGTAAGTTACACATTTGGAGTAAAAAGTCTCTCAACTTCTCTTATCTTTAAATGTCATTTAATAAACAGCATATAGATTTTTTCAGGGAAAAGGGTCATTATGAATGTCCTTAAACACACTGGGCTAGGAGACAGGCACTCTTTGCTTCTTTTTTTTTTTTTTTTTTGAGATGGAGTTTCACTCTTGTCACCCAGGCTGGAGTGCGATGGTGCAATCTTAGCTCACTGCAACCTCCGCCTCCCGGGTTCAGGCAATTATCCTGCCTCAGCCTCCTGAGTAACTGGGGTTACAGGCACCCACCACCACGTCCAGCTAATTTTTGTATTTTTAGTAGAGATGGGTTTTCACCATGTTGGCCAGGCTCATCTCAAACTCTTGACTTCAGGTGATCCGCCTCGGCCTCCCAGATTGCTGGGATTATAGGTATGAGCCACCACACCCGGCCTGCTTCATGTTTGTCTTCTCCTCCAGTGTTGGTTTATTTGCTGTCGTGTCTCAAACTCTCACTTAATTTGGCTCTGACACCGTCCATCCAACCAGTGGGCTACGTGGCCTAGGTTAACAATGAAATTATGTGTAGTAGGAAGAAACTGGGATGGAAATGAGGGAGCTCAGGCTTCAGTACCAGCGTGGACCACTGCCTATATGGATGCAGGAACGTTACTTAACCTCTCTGTGTGTCTGACCCTGCACCTTTAAAATGAGGTGGTTAATCCAGAGGAACCCTAAGGTCACCTGGAGTTGTGATGGTCTATGTGGAAAAACATGGCCCTCAGAGCTGCACGGAATGTTCCAGATGTGATTTAAATGGTAGAGCGTACTGGAAACATAGCCTCACAGTGGCTACCATTTCAAAGGGGCTTGTGGGACAAGAGGCAGAAGAAGTTGAATGCTTCCAACAGGTGGGAACCGTGACTTTGGGAAGGTCACGGCCGGAAGTGACTCGAGAATTCCCGATCTCTCAGTCTTCCTGGGCTTACAGGACACAGGTGGTAGGAAGGCTGTGAAGAGGTTACCCGGAGGTGGGGCGGCAGGGAGATACATTCCTGAGCCTGCTTTGAATGCTTTCTTCTTGCAGTACAGGTCCCCACGTCAGGGGGCACAGAAGACTCTGTCGGCAAAATCTACTCTGATCTCTAAGCCAGACACCAACTATCAGTGAAAAAGGGAGACAAAATCCCAGGAAAACTAAAACCAGCAGCCCCCAAGGCCCGCACAGCAGGAGCTGAGGACACGCCTGGGAATGGCTGCATGTGATTCTGCTAAGTTCTAAGAACGGGAATTCAGACTCTCAGAAGGCATGAAAAAAGAGGATCATCAGCTTCAAAAGGTCAAATAAGAGCTCAAAATCTGTAAGAAAGCAGGATTAAAAGTCAAAGGTCTCCATCAGATATGCCAGGGGCTGTGACGGAATATCCCCCAGCAACAGGCTCGAGGGGACATTCCTGCCCAGGAGCAGACTAAACCAGACGTGTTTGGGAAACACGTCTAAACCAGCTGGATTGGGAGCTTTGAATCCTAATAACAAGACACAGAAACTCAGGAGCCCTTTCCTCCACTCCTACAAGGCTACTGTTTTTGATACTGACATGCAATTATGTTTTCTTTCCATGAGCAGAAACTCTATGGCATTCTAAGCGGGTGGGACTATAGGGTTTTACCTGTGTCCTATTTAATGAACAAATACTTATCCCAAAACGCTGGAGCAGTGTTTGTTTTGTTAATCTTTCTTCTTTAAAAAGAATAAAAAATGTATGAAGGGTTTTTCCCCTAGAAGGTGGTAGGTTAAGAGCCCTAATTCAAAGGACAAAGTAATAAGACCCCTGCTAAATCCCCCTCGCAAATACATAAAATGTCAACGGATCCAGGGGTGTTCCGTATACCAGCACCCCAGTCATAAAAAACATCTTTAATGTCATTGTCTGAGGAAGGCCAGCAATGAGATAAGAAACCCCGACAAACAGATAAAACGAGATATGGTCTGGATAAGCCTGTCTGTGCCACGTTTGACTGTGCAGAAAGCAGGGGCTCTAGCGGAGTGCTTGGTTTGTGGTGACATTTAGCAAACCAAAAAGAGTCTGTCTCTTCCCACCAGCCCCCCCTCAGCCCCCTTGTTTTCCTGTACTAGAAAACCAAACTCTCAGAGGACTTCTCTCTTCTGTTCATCAGACAAATGGGAAAATCACAGGGCTTGTTCCAGTTTTCTTACCAACGTGAAGCTGGACAAGCCAATGACAGCTGGCAGAGAACCTTTGACCCCAGCACCAGAGGAATGAAGGTCTAGGCCCCAGAGCTGTCCCTGGACAGTACCACATGTCCATCAGCATACAATGGCACCCTGAGCTGTCGGAATGTCACGCATAGCCTCCCAGTTAGAGATGGGCAGAAAGCATCTGTCAAGAACTTTAAACAGGAGGGAAAGCTGATTTGGGATCCTCAAAGGGCTTTCTACTCCTCTCTCCCACTGTGGGTTGCCCCGAGTCTACTCAACCCCTTGACTGTCCCCTTTTTATCTCAGAGCTTGGCCAAAGCAGAGTATGCAACTGCTGCTCAGACACTCAAGTGTCCAGGAGCCAACCTTCCATCTTCCCAAATCAGATTCAATCACATCACCTCGGGAGGTGAAGGCACTTTGCAGATTTTAAGGTATCACTTAAATAAACGTTACCATCAATATCACGATTATTAATCCATCATTAGCCACAAAGCTTTTCAATACTATAGAAGCAGAGGACAACCAGGTAATTCATATTCCACCATGTCTTTCAACTGGCCAAAAACAGTCCATCGAATACCCTCCAGCCATTCCTCAGCTCCCCATAAAGTCACAGGCACGTCTCCCATGGCAGAAAACAGCAGTGCTTTTGATGTGAACACCAGAGAATTCGTGGTTTTCCTAATGCATGCTTTTGACCACAGTCTGGTTTCTCTCAGAGGCAGGTCCGGTTCTTCCAGGGGTTTAGAAGGGCCATTTGCAAGGTTAATTTTGTGAGGATGTTTTAAATAATGACACAGAAATGCCTCCCTGCTAGAATAAGGAACTAGATCTCGAACAAACTCAGTGAGGGGGGCGGGGGTGGAGGTGGGTGTGGGAGGCAGGGGGCTGGGGGGACCTTGAAGACAAGCACCTCCTTGTTTTTTTCCGGGTGCAATTCTCTCCAACCCAACCATCCCCTTCCACATACACACTCACGCACGGCAAGACCATCCTAGCACAAGGCCTGGCTCCCTGAGTGCTTTCTTCTTTAATTGTAGTTAATTAATTTTCATTTTAAAGCACAGCCCCTTTTCGTTTCAATAGCTAAGTGAAGTCTGTGGGTAACTTCAAGTCAAAGACATCAACTTAAAAAAAGAACTTCCATAACAGTTATCTCATACTACGGATCGCTGAAGGATTACTTCTGACATGAAAACACATGGCTATTTAAAAAAAATCATTTCATTCTCTGCATAATTAAGTAAACTCTAAAAAGTCATCCCCATACCTGAAGAGAATTTAATTACTTATTCTTGGCATATATTAAATTTATAAGGGTCTGCTTTTGGGTTTTAAAAGTTTCTAAGAGCTCTCATACCTATTACTTTGCAAAGATATAGCCACGAATCACAGGACAAAGAGAAGGAATATATTGCTGAGGGTCAAAAGTATGTTAAAATTTGCTTTTCCAAGTGAAAATGTCAAACCTTCTAATAAGAGTGTAAGTAACAACTGATTGAGAACAATTTGTGCTCTTCCTTTCTCCTACTGATTCAATGAATAATTTCATTTCTTGCAACTTTATGGCTGAAACTTATTTATATTTTAGCCAAAGTAAGAACTTGTGCACATTTTTTTTCTAATAATTCTTTTCTGCTAGATTCAATGTTTTTTACATAAACAAAAGAGTTTCAAGTTCTGGTGCAAACATTAACTGCGTACAATAAAAGAAATATACAAATAAAAGCAATGTGCGTCTCCTACCTTCTAGTGCGGCAAGTTGCTGCTCAGCTTCCAAGTACAGCTGGGAGAAGATGGGCCTGGGCACCAGATTGTTGGACCGCAGGGATGCCTCGATGGAATTGTGCAGGACCTCTTCAAAGCGTGTCGTCTTCAGCTGTCCAGCGTAAGAATTTCCCATCTTCAAGAGGATGGAGTCTTCTGTTTAAAATGGCATCTCAGATTCAGTGCAAAAGCCTGACTCCGCACAAGGTTAGAAGGTGAAACCGCTGCAACGAGGAAGGGCCGTGTGACCTCCGCTCAGCAGAGAGGAGAGGGCGGCCGTCCTCAGCTGCAGCTACTGCCAGGCAATTACAGGAAGTTATATAAGTAACAGCTTTCTCTAATTTAGCACTCAGCAGAGCCCGACACCTTTCAGAGTATTTCACTCGGAGCTGCCTCTTGCTATCCCCAGGTTTCACAGGACTCCCACTTTTCCCAGAGATGCGGTCCTACCCCTGAGAGTTCCCAGATGGATGACGTTTCATTTTCCATGACCTGCAGACAAACGGCCCTTCGACACTCTTGTAAGTGACAGCCACTGAGCAATCTACCACAACCAGTCCCCAGATTTGAGGATTAGAAGAGCCAGCCTCCCCCCAACCCCCACCCCCGCCTTTCCAGGAGATAAGCTGGCAGGTCTCCCATCATTGCCTTTGCTGGTAAAAGGCCGATTAGTCTCATTCTTCTTTTAAAATGTTTTTTAATCTACTAAATGTTTCCATGATTCAAGTAGTACAGAATTACATCTGGAAAACCTGGAAATCACAGTGGAGTGAGAAAACGAAGAAAATCACTGATACTTCTATCCCACAAGAGATTTATTTTCTATCCCCGCCAAAATTACAGAGAACCACTGTGATGTTTTTTCTACAGCAGCTTGAGATATAATTCATTTACCTCACCACTTAGACAACTCAATGGTTTTTCGTATATTCAGTGTTATGCAACTATCCTATGATCAATTTCAGAACGCTTTCATCACCCCGAAAGGAGACCCCAGACCCATCACTCTGCACCCCTCCAACCCCTCTAGCTGGAAGCAACAATTTATTTTCTGTTTCTATAGATTTGCTCATTCTGGACACTTTGTATAAGTGGAATCATTCAGTATGAGGTCTTTTGTGACTGGCTTCTAGCTAACATTAGCACAATATTTCTAAGATTCATCTGTGTTTTGCATGAATCAATACTTGGTTCCCACTGATGTATTTTGTTGTATTGTTTTAGACATCTTTTCAGAACTTGTGGGTGGGAAGGGATGGGAGATTGTATTCACATGATTATAATCATTTTATAATACACGTTTTTATTTTTTTTTCCTTGACGTAGGCATTTTGCTCAACCCTCTTGCAAATGTTTTTTGAATAATTTTAATGGCCGTTTCCATCAAGTGAAAATGCTGATATTTGTTCAGACAGTTTTCTCTGATCATACATATGATTAAATTTCTATTTTTAGTCCTTCCCAAGAACAGGCATTTAAATGTGTATATGTCTCTGATGTTTTCCATTTATTTTCTATTTCATTACATTTAGCTATTTTTCTGTTTTATTTCCTTTTGCTTTAATTTGTTGTGCTTTTTCTAAACTTTTCAATATAGTTACTTTATCATCATCTTTATTTTTCACCTTCATTAACAACGAAGACATTGAAGGCTACACATTATCCTCCGGGCGCCTCTTTTGCTATGGTACAAGGTTTAGTATGAAGTGTTCTCCTTTTCATTTCTTTCTAGACAGTTTATAATTTCCCTCTGATTCCCTCTTTGATCCATTAATTATACAGGAGTGTGTGTTTAATTAGTAAATAGTCAAGACGGTAGCTGGGGGGAGGGGAGTTCAGCTTCATATTATTTACCAGTTTTTAAAAGATTATAATCCAGACTGTGGTCTTTAGAAACTCTACTTTTGAAAACTTGTTAAGGGTTTCTTTTTGCCATAGTCCTGCTGGAGTTTTACAGATATAAGAAAAGACATTCGTCAACTCTTCAAGGGATGAAAGGAAATCGATCAGATTATTCAACAGTTCTATATCCTTGTATGTCTCTTGTCTACCATCCTGTTCATCTTTAAAGAGCATTCAACTTACAAAATGGCACGATGCACCGGCACTGAAATGACCACAGAATGGCAGTTTCCTGCCTTCACCTACACCAGCCAGGCAAGATCTCCCACCCACTCCAACTCGGAACATATGTAATAAATTCCCCTGGTCATTGTTCGGTTGGTGGCAGAGTAGCTTCAAGATGTCATCCTTGGAAAAACCCTGCAAGAGCTGTTTTCCCTCTTGAACGTATAATAACTGCTATAGTCACGTTGATTTCCTGCCCCTATTGTAAGGAAGATTCAGCCTTTCCTCGTCCAACTAAAAGTAAATGGAAAGCATTAACCACTTCCTGCTTGTGGCAATAACTCTTGACCACAGGGCCCCTTGGTCAGCCTCTGCCGATAGCCTGGGGAAATGAGCTGGGGGAGGATTGCTTGGAGAATTAGCCCCAACAAAAAGAAAGTGCACCTGAAAGAGAGGTCAGCCGCTGCAGGAGTAACCTAACAGGAGAGAGAGCAGAAGAGGCTGCAGGGTCCTCTCGTCTGCTTTTTTGACTGCGGGGTTACCAGCCGAAGCTGGGGACACCTGCATTATTCTCAACTCAGGTTGGTGTGATTAAAGCTGCTGCCAACTAATAACACCCCAAATGCCTTCTATTTCCACAGCATCTTTGTCTACAGAGCTTAAGGCACACAGGAAGCAGCCTTAAGTCGGACTCATTTTACATGGAGCCCCTGCAGAATCACGTCCTCTGATGGAAAGAACACATCGAGGCATCCAGACCATCCCTGCCCAAGGTCCTGTTCAGCTCACCTGACAGCTGATTGGCACCCAGAAGACACCAGCAGCAAAGGGGGACATCTAGGCCTGATGTGGACAGGGTGATAAAGGGGAAGTCGGAAAAGTAATATTCATTGTCCAGCCACTGCATGCAAGGCACCGGGCAGGCGGCCATGGGAGAGGAATGATGAAGCCCATTTTATAAATGATACATTTGAATCTAGAGATGCAGAGCCTGCAGAAACGCTTGCTGGGAAAAAAAAAAAAAAAAAAAAGTCGAATGGAGGAAAGATGGAGAAAGAGAGAAGTTTAAAAAAAAAAAAACATGGCATAGCAAAGTGGGGTTTTTGTTTTTTGTTGTTTTTTTTTAAACAAGATCTCATTTTGTTGCCCAGGCTGGAGTGAGTGCAGTGGCATGATCTCGGTTCTGCAACCTCTGATCCTCCCACCTCAGCCTCCCAAGTAGCTGGCCCCACAGACACATGCCATCATGTCTAGCTAATTTTCACATTCTTTGTAGAGACGGGGTTTCGCCGTGTTGCCCAGGCTGCTCTCAAACTCCTGGGATCAAGAGAACTCCCAAAGCAATGGGACCACAGGCGTGAATGAGCCGTCATGCCCGGTCAGTAAAGTTTTCATGCTCACAAAATTAAAACTTTATAGCCCTAGCAAACATCAAAGTTTTAATGTCTAGAAGCAAAGAGTGAAAGAGAAAATACCACTCCCTATCTAATGACGAGTTTACATCACAACAATAAGTATATGCCACTAAAGAAGCATGTGGAGTCATTACAACAGCGTTAAAACCCGTGGCTCTTTTTGTTATTCCATTGTGACCACAACCTAATAGTGTGGGGACTCCCTAGATAGCATGGCAGTGCTCTACCTTACAGACAGGCCCTGACTGGTGGGTGAGGAAGGTTCGGGCCAGACCAGCCCTGCTGTGGAGGCACATCTGGAGTTCTTTAACCCACTGGAATCCTGCATTTGACCAGTGAAGACCTAAAGACCCAGACAGAGAAGAGTCTAGTTCAGGGTCAAACACTAAAGTTTCAGTTCTTCCAAATGCCACATGGGGCGAAGACAACACCTACAAAAGGCCTCCTTGGGCTGGTCCTTCTTTCCCTGGCCTGGCCCTGACCACTCGCTCTCTGTCCATGGTCTCTTGCTAGACCTCTGCTGCAGTTATACTAGTCTGCAAACTAACTGTGGGATTTCTTCCACACCCGAACACATCACATCCACTGCCCGCATTCCAAGGCCTGGACCAGTTTCTCTCAAGGCTGATGTGTGATGCTCTGAACACACCAGAATCTGAAGCAGTGCCCATCAGGGCAGTGAAGGTGGTCGAACACAGCCTTTACATTAATGCACCAAAGCCTGGCTGTACTAGTCTGTAAAGAGAATACACAACCCCACACAAAGTGATTTAATTACTGGGCCTTTGTGTTCTCATCTATAAAACGGGCACTTAGAAAACAGGATTGCTCATTATGGAGAGTAAGAGAGACAGAGTGTAGTCAGTACATGATCATTAATTTCTAATTAAATCTGAGTATTCACAGGAAAAGAATTTCAGATGATAAATGACGAGTGACAAAAAAGTACTATTGTCCATAAGTGCTACAACTTAAAAGTGGGGAGAAATCAGTGAGAATTTGGGTTGTCGATGGGGCTGGTCCTGGAAGCAGGGCAGTAGGAATGAGTAGAATATTTTCTGGAAAAAAATAAGAACAGCATTTGAGGAATGGGCAGGAAAGTGTGAAAGCATGAAAACTCCAAGGACGCAGACATATTCCACAAAAAGAAATAAGTGGCCAGGTGCAGTGGCTCATGCCTGTAATCCTGGCACTTTGAGAGGCCAGGGCAGGTGGATCACGAGGTCGGGAGTTCGAGACAAGCCTAACCAACATGGTGAAACCCCGTCTCTACTAAAAATACAAAAATTAGCTGGGCATGGTGGTGCACGCCTGTAATCCCAGCTACTCAGGAGGATGAGGCGGGAGAATTGCTTGAACCTGGGAGGTGGAGGTTGCAGTGAGCCGAGATCATGCCACTGCACTCCAGTCTGGGTGACAGTGTGACTCCATCTTAAAAAAAAAGAAAAGGCCGGGCGCGGTAGCTCACACCTGTAATCCCAGCACTTTGGGAGGCCGAGGCGGGTGGATCACGAGGTCAAGAGATCGAGACCATCCTGGTCAACGTGGTGAAACCTCGTCTCTACTAAAAAAAATACAAAAAATTAGCTGGGCATGGTGGCGCGTGCTTGTAATCCCAGCTACTCAGGAGGCTGAGGCAGGAGAATTGCCTGAACCCAGGAGGCGGAGGTTGCG